TGCATGTAAATTGTTTTTCCAGATCTGAAAAACCTAAGTGGGTCTTTTTCATGATTTTCATCATAAATTACCTCTCCCAAGAACAACTAAGCATGCTCAAAATAATCAGGTTAGATGGTAATGCTAGGGTTTTCAGTGACGTCATGACCTTGATCTGAATCAGTGACACAGTATGGTTATTGTTTGGTTTTATGAAAAATTAACACTGAAATCTTAAAAAGTGGTCAGAAATGTTGTAAACATTGCATTCTATTTTCAATACCGGGTCACAAAGTTGAAGATCAGTGAAAACACTTTGCAGTTTATAAATCTTGGCCAGGCACATTGACATCTGTGCATGGTCTAAATATAGCTTCAGTTGTCATCAGCTAGTTTTGTTGCACTTGTGTGCTCTGAGATTTTGGGCATGGGTCAATGGAAGTTTTCAATTATCAGTACAATACTAGATTAAGGGAAATCACTTTATGATGAGTTTTCCCACATAGAGTACATATAATTAATTCAAATGTTTGCAGATGTTCCATGTATTGTTTTAACATGAGTATTTTATAATTAAATGACAGGGACTGCGACATTCATGTCTTGTTTAAGACAAGTCTGAGAAAATTTTTGATACATATTGTCATAAATAACAATCTTGAATATGACAGCTAGAATAACAGACATTTTTTACTAAATAATATTTTCACAGGAATTATTGAATTATTGCTGAACGTAATGCATATTTGCTCTGTTAAATGTGCATACATAAATGATAGAGGTGTGTGCGTAAATGACAGGTGTGTGTGTGTGTTGGCAAAATGTAATATTTGAATAATCTACTATACAACAATAGAATTGATAATTTATATGCGCTTCTAATAGAGTAAATACGATATACTTTCTAAACTTATTGTCTGAATGATCTTCATATAAACTAATATTACTAGTAGATATTTGTGATCCCTCTTATAAGCAATTATTCATTTGTACGTGTAAATGCCTTCATTTTATAGTTACCATGTACAATTTAATTAGTCCTTGTTCAGACGCAGTCCGAAAATGGGGCTTTACATATATGTTTTGACCTCTGTGCTTCCGTGCGTGCTTCCGTGCGTGCATGTGACTGGACCTGTATCTTAGAAATGCCTCTACCAATCACAATCAAACTTCACACGTACATCATACATGACATCATACATATGTACATCAATTTGTTTCAGATAAGATTCAAAATGGCTGACTGGCGGCCATTTTGTTTTAATGAATGGGTTTCTAGAGCCACATCTCTGACATGCTCTGACTGATTATGTTCAAATTTTATATATTCGTTATACATCATGTTATAGATATATACATGTATTCAAAATGGCTGATTTTGAATGCTGTTCCAGAGTAATATCTCCCAATATGGACAAGTACTTGTTTGACGATCAGATACAAATGTCAATCATTTTAATGTTAAACAATCATAATCATATTCCTGACATGGTTATATTCCAGCTATATTACTATAAACAAAACTATATATCTTAAATTCAATAACTAACGGGGACTGTGCCATGCATGGCTTGTTTATTATTTTTTACTTTTTAGAGGTTGGAGACTTTGGACAATGGCAAACCATATGATTCTGCACTTGGTGATATAAATGGTGCAATTAAATTATTGCGATACAATGCTGGATATGCTGATAAAATCCATGGGAAAACAATTCCAATCGGTAATATTTAACTGTCTTTTTTTTTTTTTTGTACTTTTTTAACTAAAAACAAAACAAATTTTGGGGAAAAAAGTGATACATTGTTTATTTGCTAGAACTTGCCATTGCTTATAAGTGCATACTAGTTTAAGTTGAATTCTTGGGTCATTCAATTAAGCTTGTCTACCTGCAACTATTCCCTGCTATGCTAGTATTGATATGTACAAAATGTTTAATTTTCAATAATTTACATTACATCAAATGTTGGCAAACATTTTGGCTTCCAATTTAGTTTTCTTTGCTCTTGAATTTTTTTCCACTAATTGATTTGCAAAGTTTTCCCATAATTTGCGCTTCCTCATAAAATCAAATGTGTATAGCACAGGGCCAGAAAACTTCCTCAGTGGTCTTGAAAGCAACTTTAAAATGCTCTATTCTACATTTACTCACTCACCCATCCACTCACTCACTCAGTTTTGTAACATATTACCCACTCACTTTCATAACATATTACCCACTCACTTTCATAACATATTACCCACTCACTTTCATAACATATTACCCACTCACTTTCATAACATATTACTCACTCACTCACTCACTTTCATAACATATTACCCACTCACTTTCATAACATATTACTCACTCACTCACTCACTTTCATAACATATTACCCACTCACTTTCATAACATATTACCCACTCACTTTCATAACATATTACCCACTCACTTTCATAACATATTACCCACTCACTTTCATAACGTATTACTCACTCACTCACTTTCGTAACATATTACCCACTCACTCACTTTCGTAACATATTACCCACTCACTCACTTTCGTAACATATTACTCACTCACTCACTCACTTTCGTAACATATTACTCACTCACTCACTCACTTTCGTAACATATTACCCACTCACTCACTTTCGTAACATATTACTCACTCACTCACTCACTTTCGTAACATATTACCCACTCACTCACTTTCGTAACATATTACTCACTCACTCACTCACTTTCGTAACATATTACTCACTCACTCACTCACTTTCGTAACATATTACTCACTCACTCACTTTCGTAACATATTACTCACTCACTCACTTTCGTAACATATTACTCACTCACTCACTCACTTTCGTAACATATTACTCACTCACTCACTCACTTTCGTAACATATTACTCCCCATATTTAAGATATAATATTTCAGCTTACTGCCTTCACATTTTACCTTGAAGTATTATCATCAGAAATTAGCTTTATAAAAAATTTGTGCCATCACAGTTGAAATAGAGAATTGTTCAACAAATCAGATTGTTCCTTTTATATAGTATTCTATATATGTAAATACAATTTGTATCTATGTAAATTATTTATTTTGATGTATTTGAGGAACGTCTCAAGCAATAGGCTTTTTGTGAAGATTTCCTCAGCTTATAGATGTCACCTTGCTATAATAGTAACTATCTTGGATACAGTTTGAAATTACAAACCAGTGCTGTATAATATGAATCAATACAATTTATAACATTACTGAATCTGTATCACATTCAAACGATTACTAAATAGAGGTACACTCATCCATTGGTGACATGTAGCAATGTTTAACCCCAGGTTGAATTCAGAAACCATGAACTCAGTGCAAACAAGCTTTGACAACAACCAAAATGGACTGTTGCCATACTGTCAGTGGTCACATCGATGTTAAAAATGTTCTTTAAAGGCACTTTTGAAGAATTGCCTCAGAATAAATTAAAATGGAAATGTTACATTCAATATTACATTCAAAGCTAGCTCATATTGCATTTCATTCAAAAGTTACTCGCATATTACGTTCAAAAAATTATACTGTAAAACATGTTGAAAAAGACACGTGCAATTTTAGCAAATTGTGGTAAAATGACGTAATAGCGAAATGTTGATTTAACAAATCTCTCTTGTCATTGTTGATTTCCTGTTTTCACAATACTTGTCTGTCGCATGCCAAAACAAATGCGCAGTTATCACCTCCATAAAAACAAAGAAAAACTGTCAAATGTAATTAGGAAGCACCGCAGATTTCTAAGTTCTGGATTACTATATACAAATCCCCAAGCCTTGGCCATTTTGAATTTATAATTAAGTCATTAGTGACTTGAATTAGCAAATCAGTTCTCTTGCTAAATTCGCTAAAAAGACATGCTCACGAAATGGACATGTTTTTCAGTAGTTACAAAATACTACATTTAAATATACACATGTATTATACATACAAATGTTATCCTTGCATAACTGCTAAATATCTTTTCTCTTTGTAGATGGTCCTTTTTTTTGTTACACTCGCCATGAACCCGTTGGTGTATGTGGTTTGATTGTGCCATGGAATTTCCCTTTCTATTTGACGATTTTGAAGATTGCTCCAGCAATTGCCTGTGGATGTACTTGTGTAGTGAAATCAGCTGAGCAGACTCCACTGACAGCAATATATTGCTCTGCCTTGATAAAAGAGGTAAAAGTGTTGCTAATATAAATAGGGTGATATTAACTAAGCAGATGCTAATTCTGGCTAATATAAATATGGTAATTTTAGCTTATGAGATACCAATACTGGCTAATATTATAAACTGATTTTATCATATAAGATGTCAGTATTTGATAATATAAACATTATGATTTATTGTCTGCGATACTTACCAGATTCTGCCATAAAATCACCCTGGGCAGTTTCACGGCTGGTATAGGCCCTTATTTGGGGTTCAAATTTTCAAAAAATTATCAAATATTTTTAGGGGGCTTATATTTTCATTGAAAAATCCTCCTACGCCGATTTTCGACACCGGCAGTTGGACGACCCAAAACGAAAGAAACTATTGCAGAAGCTAATCTAAAATTGTATACATTTTTTTCTACCTGGATTAAAAAGTAGACCGTGCATCTTTCTCCAAAAAATATATTCTAAAAGAAGTTTCAAATAACAATGAACACAACTGCATTGCTTAGTAGCAAATGATTGTGGTAGCACAATTCGGTCACGCTGCGTTTTACAATTGATTATTTAAACAATAACGAACGACCCGCTAACCCATAATGGGCGAAAGCTCACTTTGTGCGACATATATGGAGCACAAAGTGTGCTTGAGTCCATTATGAGTTGTCGGGGAGTTCATTAGTGTTATTATTTTGTAGCGTTGTCATTACCAGTGGATTTGCTGTCTCTAAAAAGTGGGAACAAATTGGAGAAAAATCTACAGTGAACAGAATAGTTTCACATTCACTGGCCCGTGAATCTGAATAATTTAAAATGTCTTTCTTGAAATTGTTTCCACAATCTCACATGGCAAACGAAGCAAGAAACTAGTTTTAATCAATCAAATATTATTGTATTGAACTCATTTACATTGCGAATGAATGAGTGACTGATGTGTGGTGTGGAGTAGCATTGCAGTGATCGCCCGAGCGAGCGACACACCGTATCGGTGTCCACCCCGCGGCCTTGCACTACACTACCTAGATCGCCGCCGTGGTCCAGCTGGATCGACTGTGCGTGGAGGTGCGTGCCCGGGGTACATGTACGTAGTTTCATCGTTGAACATGATCGGAAAGCTAGTGGGTGTTAGCCATCCTAGGAGAACCAGCAGTGATCTTAATCTCACTGTATAAATAAACAGAAACACACCTGAGAACACAAACACTTTCATTTATTCATGCAATCCGTGCCCGGACTGTTACATTTACCGGCAGTCGACGCCGAGGAAATACAAGTCACGTCAGTCTTTCGTCGATCTCGTTTCGCAAAACTGTACTACTCACCACAAAAACAGAACAAATTCATCTCTGTACTCTTAGACATACATTGTACCCCAATTTCGTTTATCGCATTTGCTTGGATAAATTATCTTCGTTTAACTTCACTTCATCAACACGATATGGCTAACTAATCAGGGGGCCACCAGTATCAGTCGCAGAATCTAGAAGCGCGCGTACTAGATGGAAGGCTTCGATCGAATGCGCGTTAGCGTGCAGAGCAGACGACGATGCCCTCACAATATTGTCTGATTTCGATATTGAAATCCACTGTTATTGGTTATGGACCGTTTTATTTGATGCCAATTTTGGTATTAAATACTTGTTATCTAACAATTTCTCTTCTTTTTCAATAGTTTCTTTTTTATTCGTTTTTGAAAACAACATTGTATTCACATCCATGGGACAGGGCCTTGATGCTCAATAATGTAATACATTATTGCGAATAATCTGCTGCAATGACGTCATAAAATCAACTGGTATTGATAATGCTATAATATAATATAATACCTAGTAATGATTATAATAACGTACAAAATATAAATTTGTTGAATTGTTATGAAATGCAAATAAATTTCAACTTATTTCTTCGTAAGCGTATGATTCCGAACCATTTTCAACGTTCGATGCTGTAATGAATATCTGCCATGTTTTGACCTGATATGATGTTCTTTTGACCTGACAGGTCAAATCGATAATTGACCAATAAAAACGATGGATGATGCCATCAAGTTCAAATTAACATCGATCATTTAAATATTTTAATGTTATTGAATGCAGCACGGAAGAGATTTGCCGATGTTGTTGTACGATCTTTTGGCTTGGATTTTGATGGGAAAGTGGCATGATTTGGTTTTAAATAAAAAAATAGTTTTCAAAAGATAAACGGAAGAATAATTTAACATTATTTACAGCAATAACAGCTCAATGTCGAAACAAAGCTAACCCATTCACGCTAGTCGCAATAAACATCAATACTCTTGAATAGCGTCAATGACTACGGCGAAACTTTAGGCGTCAGAAAAGATTAAAATAACACCTTAAAAAACTGCCAAAAAATTGCCCTGGGTGGTTTATTGGTTCCATTTAATTTTTTTTAAAAACCCGAACTGTCATTTAAGGGGCCTGGGCGAATTTACGGCAGAATCCGGTACTAGTATGAGCATTATTTTTTTTTCCACACAGGCTGGATTTCCACCTGGTGTTGTCAATATTTTAGCAGGTTATGGTCCCACGGCGGGCGCTGCTATCTCTGAACATATGGATGTGGATAAAGTTTCTTTCACTGGATCCACTGAGGTGATTTCATATTTATATTATCAATATTTGTTAGCTTTATGTGTATATAGCCGGGTCAAGTTGCTATTGGTACTGTCTATTGATCTTATCTTGAAACTGCAGCCAGGTACATATTCCTTGTGTGCATACATCTTAGTGAAGGACTTTTGCAAATTTTGCAATGTATGCTTTTAAAATAAAATTTTGCAAGGAATGTTTTTTAAAATATAATTTTGCAAGGTATGTTTTTTAAAATAAAATTTTGCAAGGCATGTTTTGAAAATAACATTTTGCAAGGTATGCCTTTAAAATAAAATTTTGCAAGGTATGCCTTTAAAATAAAGTTTTGCAAGGTATGTTTTGAAAATAAAATTTTGCAAGGTATGCCTTTAAAATCAAATTTTGCAAGGTATGTGTTGAAAATCAAATTTTGCAAGGTATGTGTTGAAAATCAAATTTTGCAAGGTATGTTTTGAAAATCAAATTTTGCAAGGTTTGTTTTGAAAATCAAATTTTGCAAGGTGTGTTTTGAAAATCAAATTTTGTAAGGTGTTTTTGAAAATAAAATTTTGCAAGGTATATTTCGAAAATAAA